TTGCCAAATTTTTTTGATTAATAACTGAAAATACTGAAGAATGTAAGAAAAAAGTTCAGAAAAATTTGGGCAAGAAAGCCTGGTGGTGAAAAGATTAAGGATTCACGCATCATAAAACAGATCATGTTGGGAGAAATAACATATGACCTGTTGTTTCCAAATGAGACAGTGCACAAGACACCACAAAACACAGATGTACATATGGCTGTTTTGATTTATATTTGATAAATAATTTAAGCATCACATCGTTTTTACCATCTGATCAAGAAAGACTGAATGGTAAGCATTTAGTACTGTAAAAGGGTTAATTATTCACTGGGTTTTAATTAGTCCCCGTTCGGACGCAGTCCGAAAACGGGGACTTATGTTTTGACCTCCATGTGTCCGTGCATGCGTGTGTGCGTGCGTCTGTGTCCGGACTTGTATCTTAGAAATGCCTGGACCAATCACAATAAAACTTCACATATACATCATACATGATATTATACATATGCACGTCAATTTCTTTCACGACCTGATTCAAGATGGCCGAATGGCGGCCATTTTTGTGCTGAAAATCAAGCATTTCTCAGCTGTTTACAGATACATTTTGTTCAAACTTAGTATATACATTAGACATTATAGGACCTTGATGCACATCATTTTGTTTTACGATCTGATTCAAGATGACCGAATGGCGGCCATTTTTGTGCTAAAAAATTCTAAAAATCAACCATTTCTCGGCTGTTTACAGATGGATTTTGTTCAAACTTGCTATATACATTAGACATTATGGGACCTTGATGCAAATAATTTTGTTTTTCAGATAAGATTCAAAATGAACGATTGGTGGCCATTTTGTATTAATGAATGTGGTTCTCGTGCCATATCTCTGACTTGCTTTCACTGATTATGTTCAAATTTTAAATATTTATTATACATCATGTTATAGATAGACAGATATATTGGTTTGACAATCCTATTCAAAATGGCCAAATGGTGGCCTTTTTTGTGCTAAACAATCATCAAATATCAAGCATTTATGGATGGATTTCGTTCAAACTTGGTACATATATTAGACATTACAGGTTCCTGATGCACATCATTTATTTTTCAGATCGGATTCAAAATTGCTGTCTGGCGGCCATTTTGTTTTAATGAATGGGCTTCTAGACCCATATCTCCGACTTGTTTTGACTGATAATATTTTCAAATTTTAAATGTTCATTATAAATCATGTCATAGATAAACAGATATATTGGTTTGACTATCCTATTCAAAATGGCCAAATGGTGGTCATTTTTGTGCTAAAAAATCATCAAATATCAAGCATATTTGGGTGGATTTCGTTCAAACTTGGTACATACATAAGACATTACATTACGGGTTCCTGATGCTCGTCATTTTATTTTTCAGATTGGATTCAAAATGGCTGACTGGTGGCCATTTTGTTTTAATGATTGGGCTTCTAGAGCCATATCTCTTAAATGCTTTGACTTATTATATTTAAATTTTATATATTCGTTATACATCATGTTATATATATACATGTATTCAAAATGGCTGATTTTGAATGCTGTTCTAGAGCAATATCTCTCAATATGGACAAGTACTTGTTTGACGATTAGATACAAATGTCAATCATTTTAATATTAAAAAAACATATTCCTGACATGGTTGAATTCCAGCTATATTACTATAAACAAAACTATATATCTTAAATTTGATAACTAACAGGGACTGTGACATGCATGGCTTGTTTTGCTTATTTCGCTGGCTGGAAAATGCGCTAAATTAAAACCCAGTGAATATGTAAAATTTAGCAAAAACACATTATCTAAATGATAAAACCGTGAATTTAAAACCCAGAATATGCCTGAAATGTCATTTTACAGTACTTAGTTTAAGAATTTTGACATGTTTTTGACATGTAGATGAAATACTAGGCTATACCATCTCATCAAACTTTATCATTTTGTCACTTAAAACAAATCAACATCAGCATGGCTTGAATTTCCATATTCTGAAGACACTAATTTACAAGTCAAACATTTCTAAAAATGGCCATCTGACGCATGCGCAGGTGACGACTCCCTCGCTTTAAACCGGAAATGGACTAGAATGATGTAACACTGGGTTAGCCTATAGCCAACTTTTGAACCGAATATATATCGCATACATAGCATACCTTTTTAGTAACACAGTGTCTTATTATATCTTCATTGAAATGTGGTAGTTGTAACAACGGAGATTTAATCTCCCATAAACCCTGTACAATCATCTGACTCAACTTCATACAATTCTCAACTGTCTCCAAACGAGGTTCACGAGCAACTGAAAGAAATCAGGTTAGCTTTGGTGAAAATTATTATGTACCGTACACACTGTATTTGCTCCATAAGAAGTGCAGGTAATTGGTGGAAGTTGATGGTCAAAACGGCACTCTGTTTTTTACTTCTGTCAGCTTTTGTGCTCTTCAGTAACATATTAATTTTTTTTTTATGAGCTGGCTCTCGAAATAACTATTATTATACATCTGTCATCGCAATGCCATACAATGTGGTATTTTATGTGGTATTTTCATTCTACCATATTAGGAAATGCGAATTCCAAATATTTGAATGATTAGGGACGTAAGCGTCCTCTAATAATAAAAACAAACATGGCTACCAGCAGGGTTTGACCGAACTCCACACAAAGAAGCTTGCTGATTTTGGACTGCCTTTATAGTCAAGAACAATGATGTAATACCCCACAATGCATTGCAATCGAATCAAACATAAAATGGCTACCAAACTTTTTAAGGTTGACATAACCCACATGTTTATATCAGCCATCTTGAAGATAACTTCATCAATTTTATTGATATCCAAGCTAGAATTTTCTCAATTGACTTTTATCATCACTTTGCGTGCCATCGTTTTTATTTCTAACAAAAAACCACAATGCAGTATGGGTAAAATTAATATTGATCAACAAAAAAGGCAAAAAGACTGAAGCTTCAACAAATTAGCCACCTGTACTGTATTTGGTCTATTAGTAGCATATACGCTTACATAAATGACAAAAGTGTGTAAGTGGTCAAAAATTTCAATAATCCTGTATACTATATAAGCAACTGTTATACATGTATATGCTACTATAGGAGATGCGCTTCTAATAGAACAAATACGGTAAGCCTTTTCAAAGGTTCTTGCATATGAGAATTCATGCTAAACTACTTTTGTTATTTAATTCTAGTTTATCACTGCGACACAGGAAGTCTAACTAATTGATTCATAAATTTCTATACATACTTCTACCAGCGTGTGCATACACCACCAGCTGAGAACACACATTAATTATCTCATTCACCAGAACAGGACATTTCTTTAAAATATAGTTTTTATCTGTAACCAAAGCAGATATAGAAACAATGAAAGTACAGTTACATAACATATTACACACCAAACACACTAGATTGCTTTAACTATGGTCTTCCTAAAGCACCCAATTCTCGGGGGCGGACATCCAGGCATTTTCACCGCATGTCAACCATCATGGTGAAAACAAAGGTCGGAAACTCTCAGAAAACGGTACTTTGGGATGAACAGTGCAACAAGATTACCCCTTCGTGTGTAACACATATAAATTTGATTGTTCAGGATTACTTCAAAGTAGAGTTCCTGTTGTTTCCTCAAATTTTCACCGGCTCTTCGCTCGGTGTTCCTGATCAGCGCGCGCAGAGCCCATACAGTGGTGCGCATCTTAGCAACCTGGAATGTCTTGTGATGTAGCTTCACCCCCGAGGATACATCATTTCTATAAATTACACCCTCTAGTGACAAGCACGTATGTGATGTCATAATTAGATATATGGATGATGTCAATGTCGTTGAAATCAACAACTGTGTTCTGATGTGTAGTCTTTCGTCACTTAGAATATAGTAAAACCCTCAGATCAAAACGATAGTGATGCTTTGAACAGCCTTTGTGTCATTACATACACACACACTTCGTCACTAGAGGGCGCAATTTATAGGAAAGGTGCATTATAAGGCACAAACTACTACAAGGACTAATAAAGTCGGGTAGGGCATTTGATACAGTGGTATTTCTGAACTTTAATTCTAGATATTGGTATAATTCAACTATTCAATACAATGCAGAATCACTCATAAATCTGTCAATTAAACTTCAAATAATACTAATAAAGGACTTTCTGGGCAAGTCACTTCTCATACAAAGGGTAAATCTATTTATCCACATGTAATTTTAAGACTCAGAATCTATAGATTTTTGACTTTCTAAATCTTTCCTTATTCTGCATTGTAATGCCCTTAAAAAGGTGGCGTAATCATAGGAGAACAGGGAAAAAAGCTCTTTAAGGACATCAGCTATATGTTTTAACACAACATTAAACATTAGTGAATCGTAGAGTCTGGTGATTACGGGATTGGTTATGATTGATATGATCCCATGACACCAGCAAACCATGTGCTTTCTAGCACAGCGCATAACAGTGAAAATTGCTGGTAGAAAAAAAAATAATATTTTAAAGTGAATCTTGTACTTAGAACTATATACCGGTATATGATAAATATATTGTGACTAGTCTAGTTATAAAACACATTACAACATACAATGTAACACTTACCTTTTTCTAGTGTTTTTAACGGTAACGCCATCCGAGATAAATGAGAATGCACCAAGGCTCTAGCTTTTAAAGCGTATGGATAACACATTGGCTTCTCTTTCACTTTCTCATTCACACTACTTAGATCTCTGATAAGCTGAGAAAATGAAGGAGATAAAGAAAAACAACATCAGTGAGTTACGACTGTTTTACACGCATTCTAATAAAGAGGAATATACCGTGTAGTTGTTTTACTAAATTCATATTTTAAATGACACATGAACCTAAAATGCATATTTTAAACCTTTTCACCACCAGACCTATCGCCCAAGTTTTTCTGAACTTTTTTTTCGCATATTCTTCAATATTTCTGAATCCTAATTTTGGATCCAACAAATCGTTTTTTTCCTAAAAACAAAACTTGTCCCAATCTTCTGAAGGAAAGTGAAGACAAGGAACTGGTGGTGATTAGCTAATGATTAAAAGAAAGTTTGTTTAACATGAAAACTGCAATATAAAAATTTGACACAAGATTGGAAGCTGACCACTACTACCAAACCAATCACTATTATCCACTCGTATTCAACTCCTATACAAGTCTACAAAACACTAATTTCTGAAAGACAACTATACAATCCAGTCATTAAACAATGCAAGTGCAAGTTTAAAGGACACTGTTCAATTAAAACAGATGAATTACTGAAGAATACTTTATTTTCGCTTGGAATTAATTTGAAAGAATGATTCAGTAAAACTAAAATCCAGCGAATATACCATTGTTTCTATATTTTACATTTAACGCATCAGAAATCAGGAAATAAATTCCATACAAAATACCCAAAATGTTTCTTCAGCGAAAATAAAATATTTTACAGTATGGTATGTGAAAGTTCTTGTAAACACATCATCTGCCGAAAGCCTCCATGAATAGCGTAGTGTTCCAGGTACAACTTGGTCTATGTTAATTACATTTCTAGTAGATTTTACATACATAGTTCAGCTGTATTACATAATGTACTATTTGTTTTAATATTGAGTGAGGTATGCGTGGAGATCAGAATTGGTACTTAACGTCATTTAAATGCAATGGCGCAGTTCCTAAAATATGCATTGTGCACCCCCAGTTGCGGCGGCATTCTGATAATATTCTGCGGCATTCTGCTAATATTCTGTGCCATCGAGAAAACTTATACTGTGCCCCATTCTGGGTTCAAGCAAACTCTTAGAAAACGTTGAAGTTACAGCAGGATTTTTTCATGTGAAATACCGTTATAACATTTGTAGGGGCACTGCAAAGTTTTAATAATGAGTTGCATCTCATTATAAATAGTGAGTTCACTAGTACGGTACCATAGTTACTACTAGACTGCTGCATGAAAACTTTATTAGAGCTGCTTACCTGTACCATTGCCTAAAGTCCATTGATTTGGTTGATAATAAGGTACGAAAATAAATAATTCCAATTAAACACACACAAAAATCAATTTGTAACAGCAGAGGAATTGCCAGCATCAATAGTAGTTGTCCATCCAGCAAAATAGGTAATTTCACGTTCTGCCTTCAGGGCAGCATGTTCACCACTGTTTACTTAATTTACGGTAATTTTTTTCAATGAAAACATTTTTGGGTTTTATTTGTTTTTAATGGCACAAAATTATAAATATGCAACTTAAATACCATCCCATGAATCTAGGGAACATGTCTATATGTTACTACTTACACTATTTTTTGCTGAAAAGAGTTTCAGTGTGAAAACGAAGGAGGCTGATT